CCATTAAAGCAATTGGAACACCTGAATTCAATAATTTAGTAATTCTTCTAACTAAAACTAAACTGAAATCTAAAACTTGATGTGAAAAAACTTGTTAGCTTATGAAAATAAATATAAATGAAACTAGACATTAAAAAGAGAAAAGGAAAACTAACTTTCTGGACTAGAAAACTAAAATAAAAACAGTGAGGAGATATTTTTAGTCTTTTTAATAACACACGTAATTGTGTTATGTGTGCAGGCCAGAAAGACTTTAATGATCTATAGATGAAATAATATTAATACTAATTATGTATTATGTAACAGCTATCAGTCTCAAAACGGTTACAAAACCTTTCTCAATAATAACGATAATGATAATGATAACAATAGTAGCAATAATATAATGCACTACAAATTAGAGGAGTATCGTTTCAAAGGAGTGACTGAGCTTACACCTGGCAGAGACACCAGGCAAGCAGGACAGGCAGAACCAGTTCAGGCCATTTTCAAACTTTGGGTGTGTTCGTCGTCACTCAGTTTATGCTACACACTTGTCAACACGTATTACTCACCTGTTCCTTTCAAGCTACATGGCTGTGCCACACCTAAATTAATGCTAGATACAATTGAAAGAATTTGACCTTTTGATTTGCGTGTACAATTATTTCTATGTGCAACTGTTTCAAAGCATGCCCTTTTAGAACTGGATCATATAAAACAATCACAGCAGAAATATTTAGACCATGACATTTTGCCCTATTCTGCCTCTGTGCATCACTACAAAAACATTTCAGAACAGACAATTGGGAAGTAACCGACCTGCACGCTTTCAGTTCAAATTCAACAAAAATCCTGATTTAACTGTTTGGGAATCACAGCCAGATTCCATTTGGTGCAGAAACATCCTACAGAACCTTCCACGGAATAATTTACACCATTACAGCAATGAAAGGCATCAAATTAAAACCTTGTTTAGTATTAAAAACATGCATTTCAGTATACACAATACACACAATAATTCACTGAGAACCACTCGCTTCCTCTTAGGCATCTGTCGGACGGAGCAAAATATATAAACACAATCCTTATCATAGCCTATGAAGTTTGACCTGTTGTACTCAAGGAGTTATTTATGGGATGAGTTGTGTTTGCAACTTAAAGCATGTATTAATCTATTACACTAACTTTGTCATTGGTAGATGTATATTTTTTAGCTAAGAGGACAAAAAAAATCTATTTATTTATGAAGGACATAGCAGTACACAGAAAATCCTGGTTTTTCCCCAGGGTATAAATGCAGCACGAGTTTGTGGATGTGTGGTTTGAAAGTCTCAAACGTCGCTCATACCACAGTGAAGAAAAAACCACCAGCACAGTGCAATTTAAGCATTTAAGCATTTAACATAAGATAGCCTTTTATTTCACTATTTTCAAAGACTTTATAATGTAGAACTCAGTCCGTCGTAGGGTGAAGAGGAGGCAAGCTTAGGGCCGAGGTGGCATCCGGCTGGAGGTTAAGATCCGATCCAATCCCCGTGTGTGTGTTTAACTTCTTTAAACAAGTCAACAAGCAGTCTTCACCTGTCTCAAGAGCCAACACACACACACACACACACACACACACACACACACGCACCAAATGTGCACCAGGAATTAACTGTAATTAACCACATTTTTAAAAAAGCTAAGTTCAGTTTCAATAGCCACACCCACGTCTGGTTACTGTCACATCTACTGAATCAGGACTTTATTTAGAGTCTGTCTGACAAAGTGAAGCAGGCTAAAGTAGAACATCATGACACAATCTAAAGAAACACGTGAAAAACAAAGTTATTGACAGCTATCAGTCTCGAAACGGTTACAAAACCTTTCTCAAACTGTGGGACTGTCTAAACCACAGTGAGAGCTTTTATCCACAAACGAAGAAAACCTGGAACAGTGGTGAAGCTTCCCAGGAATGACCGAACTACCAAATGAGTCATCCTGGAGGTCACAAAAGACCTCAGAACCGCATCTAAAAAATTGCAGGCCTCACGTGCCTCGGTTTAGGTCAGAGTTCATGATTCAACAATAAGAAAGAGACTGGACAAAAATGCTGTCTATGGGAGAGCTCAAGGACAAAACCACAGCTGAGCCAGAAAAACACAAAGGCTCGTCTCACATTTGACAAAAAACAAACAAGTGCGTGGATTTTGGATAAAGTTCTGTGGACTGATGAGACATGGAATGATTGCTCTTGTCAGATTACCTAGCCCGAATACTACAGAAACTGCTGATCTACTGATTTTCCACACAAAAATCTCAATGGTTTACAGAGAATAGTCGGGAAAAGATCAAATATCCAGTGAACATCAGTTCTCTAATGAGAATGCCTGGTTGATGTGCTACTTTGAGCTGACAGGAAGGCAACAGGAACTCAAATAACCATTTTTTTGGGGTTTGATTTTATAACAAATGTATGCAGAAGAGCATCTCTGAACCACTAACATGTTATAACTTTGAAGCAGATTGACTACAGCAGCAGAAGACCGCAGTGAGCGCTACTCCTGTCAGCTATGAGAAAACCATTACTTACAATGACGTCAGTCAGGAATTCCTACAAAATCTTCCTCTCCTTTCCTGGATTTGCTGCCTCTACACAATCTCCACAAAACTTTCTCGACCTACATCTAATCAAGCTGCAAATCCTTTATTTATTTAGTAAGATTTCAGCGCTCCTCTCTTCCACACTCTCCTGCTGGATTTCTTAGCCTGGAAACGTCTGAGCTGAACATGTTCCCTCCTCTGCCCAGCAGCCCCCCTCTCCCCTTCTCACCTAACAAAAACACCACAGTCCCCTCTCAAACTTTCCCCCAAGTGCGGTTGAGTGAGGTTCTTTAACCTCAGTGGCAGATGCGCTAACAGAAAAAATTGTTGTGAATACTCCCTTAAATATTAACTGCAGCAATGCCTGCACATGTTCGGTGCACTACAGACATGATTCATGTCATATGCCATGTAACAGACCTGTAGGAGAAAGAAAGATAATGATTTATAAGCCTATAAATCATGCTAACATTAAAGAGTTTTACTGTAACGTTTTGTAAGTATATTCAGTCAGAATGGGGTAAATCAAAAGTCAGCCTTGCCTAAAGTTTTGGATCACTTTCTAGCTTTGAGATGACTCACAGTTTCTTATATTTTTTATTGGTTCATTTCACTGAAAGTAGCACCGCAATAGTGGCTTTGCAGCTGCTAAATTTAACTTTAAGTTTTGATGTTTAAAACCGAGTGAGGAGAAACGGGGTCAGCTTTGATCTGAAACACTACAACAGCGCCCTCCATGTGCTTGCAATTATTATAATACAAAGAATGGAAGGCAGACGATGCCAAGGAGCGGGGTTACTAAAACGAGCTGTGAACCCTCCCCCCAGACACAGACACAAAAAACCCAAACTTAAAAACATTAAAAACATCTCTGGCTGCATCAGCGTCAGAGATGCTAGCAGGATCAGCACAGGGCTGGATCATCACTGGTCAGAATCTATCCTCCCATAGACTCTTCTATGGGACTCTTCTGTCATATTATTGCTCTATATAAACAGTTTAGACATTAAATAAGAATTAATTTAACAGCAGAAATAAAACAATGCACAGTTTGATACACAAGTATAGTTTCAAACGAGTGACTCAGCCTGCACCAGACACAGACACGAGACAAGAAGGACGAGTAAGACCAGGTGAATCGAAGGTGAGGCGAAACTCAACTTTACACTGATTCAACCTGTCCTAATTTTTTGGGTGTGTCTGTCCTTACTTGGTTTATATTAGACACTTGTCACATGCTGCCGTTAACACATTACTCAGATATGGGAGTTGCACGCTCCCTGAAACTACAGGATTGTACCACACCTAAAGAAATGTAACAGAAACACGTGCCCTGTTGACCTACAATCACAATGTTCCCTTTGTGTAATTGTGTCCTTTTAGAACCGGGTCATTTCATTCCCAAGTCAACGCGTCACACAAGAACCAGCCATCAGAAAACAGATCAATCATCCAGGGTACCACAGCTCATTGCTGTTTCTCTGCAAAATGGATATTTTGCTTTTAAACATCGATATGTCCCATAATGCTGTTCTCACAGTTGGCTGCAGAAAAAAATATTGTGCTGGGAAAAAACAAGGTTGCAGGTTTAGATTGTGGAAAAACTGATTTAGTTAGAATTTAAATATGTTTTCCAACCCTGAAAATTTAACATGTCTTGCTCCTGTTCATATAAAATTCTGAGGCTCAAACAGGAAGGAAAAATACTTTGATTTAAAAAAACACAAAAAACAAAGCTTTGGCTTGCCCCTTTTCACTTTGAGGCTTGTAACGCTGAACATATTCAACTTCCCATGACTTCATTTAAAGCACTAAAACTGTTATAGAAAATATTCTAATGTGAGCAAGTGGGAGTTGCTGATTTATTTACCCAGATGTTCCCTTAATGAGTATTAAACCAAGCACTCACAAGATAAAGCGTGTGCCCTGCATGTGTGCTATTTTAATATTTTAGCATATTAAGAGTCTCAATATTTTTTCCTCAAGGTCAATATTAAAATACGCAAACGTGTCTGTTGTTTTAATGAGAATTTTATTGCTTTGATGAATTTGTACATCAGTTCTGAATTGTTGAAGTGTGATCTGCATTTCATTGCTTTGGTCTTGACATAATACAGAACAAAGTTTAGCTTCCAACACATTTGTGTCCATAAATGCTTACACAATGAGACAATTCCTATAAGTCTGCCTCTGCACTTTAAATCAGACAATCAAGATGTAGCAGAGTTGATGTCTGTCAGCTCTCATTCAGGGGTTTTAACAGAAGTACTGCATTAACAGCTTTAGTCATGTTTTTAAAGTCAAATTCCCTTTCGTGCACACATTTCTTATGGAGCCTCAGCAAAGGATAGATTAAGAAATAAAGTTTCTAATTAAATCTATCTCTATCTTAAAAATATACATTTCAGCATACATGATGATATTCACCTTTACTATGAACGTGTGGCAATCGCGGTGCTGTCGAAGTAAACTCTTTGCACACCGTCCTGAGCACCTAAAGGGTTATGAGTTACAGTTAAATTAAGGCAATGCCCAGTAAATGCACGCACGCAACATTGTGGTGTAAGCAAACCTGATTGGAAAATGAAGTTGAGGCTCTCCTCACAGGGCTGGTCCTGCCACAGGAGGTGCTCTGTGCTGGTCATGCCCCCACAGGTGCTGGAGTAACAGTCTAGAACAAAATCCTGTGGCCAATTCAAGAAATCCATGGACTGTCCAGACATCCAGAACCACTCGTCTCCTCTGAGGGATCTGTTGGACAGAACAGATGAACAGATCTGAACAGATTTACATTTATCAAGATGTTGCTCTCTATGGAGCATATGGCCGTTTAAAAGCTGCTTGTTGAATTTCACATAAGCTGGATGATCCATATTTATCTTCTTGATGTTGTGTAGGCCTAAAAGAACAATGACAATCATTTTTAAAAAAAGAAAAAAACCTTGGTACAGCAGGTTTGTTGTGTTTACAGTGAAAGCTGTTTGCAAGGTGGCCTACTATTGCAGCAATGGCAGAAATGCAAATGAGAAAATGGAAGGACGCACAACGCAATGCAAAGATCTGCATCTGCATAATTTGATTTGCAAAGTTTGCAAATTGTCACAGACATCA